CTTGCTGCATTTCCCTCCTTTTCTTCCTCCTGTTTCTTTATGCCCAGAGATGTCACTAGGAAAGTCACTGTTAGGAGGCAGCCTGGCTTAGCGGCTAAGCCATTCGGTAAGGAATTCTGGGCTCTATCCCCAGCACAGCCGTGGGCCTGCTGCAAGACCTGGGCACCTTCTTTCAGTTCTCTGTATCTTCATTTCCCTTCCCTCTCCCCAGACACGCACATCTGGTTCCTTTATTTTGCTTGAAAACTCATCGAGGCATAGGCTGTTCTTAATGAGGTTGTGCACAGGGCAGGTCAGTGCGATTGCAGGCTTGGATGTAGGTTTTAAGGGGTTTTTATCCCTGCAATATAAATGATAATGATCTAAAACCCATCTGTGCAAAGGTAGCATTCTGAAGGAAGGAGTTTCACTCCACAAATATAGGACTGGGGACCTGTAGATGGGGGATGTATGAGGTCTTTGAGAAATGAGGAAATGAGGAAAGCTGAAGCAATGACTACTCCACAGATGAACTCTCTTCTGCTTGGAGAGAGCATCTTGCCATTTCCCTCTGCTTTCATGCTTCTTCCTTTTAGCTTTTGTTTTAAAAATAAAGATGATGCGTTTTTTTTTTTTTTTTTTTGGTTAAACCAACTCCTCTGGCCTCCTCCCTTTTTTCTGTCTCTAGGCCATACTCGCCTTATGCTTATACCTTTCTTACAATACCTACTTCTCTGCTGTTACAGTCTGCTTTCTCCAATCCCTCCATTCAGCCCTCTTCGACACCTCCCCACCCCCGTCGTCTCCTCACATTGTGCGTGTACATTAATGGGAGAGAAAGCAAAAATAAGAGCCCACCCATTACAGTTCTTTCCACAATGCCCAGAAGGATCTGTGTTTGAGGCATGTTTTAAAGATCATTGTAAATCAGGAAACAGCAAGGTGGAGTGAAGGGAAATTGGAAAGGGCTCTCAGCTTACGAATGTATAATGCAAGAACATGGGCCCTCGCTCCAGTTTAATCTTGCCAACAGTTCCTAGACCAAGTTCCTTGAACAAAAAGTCATTATTATGACTAACCATTCTGTATTTATAGAGAAGTAGTGTTAGAAGACAAACAATTCAAGCAGCGCTCTAGTGCTAGATGTTCTTTGCTTTTTCCTGTATGTGGTCCTTTATTCCAGCGTTAATTGTGGTTATAAATCATTCCCAACCTGCTTTGGAATGAGTTTACACAGGCTTCGTGCTGTTGAAAACACAGTACATTTATATGTACAAGATATAAAGCATTCAGCAACTCCAGGGGTAAAAATACCATGTATCAGGAATCAAACCCACAGAAGAATTAAAAACTAACTATCACTAAAATATTTCTCTGTCTGTGGCTACAAATGGCTACAGCTACTTCTGCACCCCACAGAGTGGGCAAAGTTGTCACTGACAGGGCACTTTGAGGGGCATTTGTGCCAGGAAAGGTTTTGTTTTCACAAAGGACGAGATCTGGAGATGGGAGTCTTGTTCAGACTGAGTGGCAAATGGGATGGGGAAGGAATGTGGACACCTAACACCTGCCTGTGACCATCCAGGCCAGAAAAGAAAAAGCCAAAAAAGCCTGAAAGGGAGAAGAATGGCTTTTTTTTTTTTTTTTTTTTTTTTTTTCTTGGTGGGGAGAATACACGGCCCCGAATGGCTTTTTTTTTTTTTTTTTTTTTTTTTTTCTGTGTTGGGATATATCAGCCCCCACAAGGGGGAATGTTATTTGAACCACCCGGGGTGCACATTCCTCTGAGAGCCAGGGAACATGGAGCCTTGGCAGGCAGGCCAGATGCCAGGTCGGGACAGAGCGACCCTCTCAGAGCCTTCCTACGTTTCTGTCAGCTCTAGCAAAGGGGGGGATTAAAAAAAGAAAAAGAGCTTGTTAAGTCTCATACAGCTTTCAGATCAAATTTTTATCCTGTTGCACTTTGGAAGTCTCTTGAACAAGCTCAGTGCTTCAAAGCTGAGGCTGCAAATCTCCCAGGGAAGGTTCCTGTGTTTAATAAGCTGTTTTGACTGGAATTCAAAGAGAAAGTAAAGATTTCTGTTGGCCTAGGTATGGAAAATGTGGCCCAGACCTGTAACCCCATATCTGACCAGACAAAAATGTGCACTCTGTTAAAAACTGGAGATTTCTCAGAAACATTGGCATTAGAATAGTTCTGATTCCCCTGAAGTCAACAGCAAAAAGTCTCATCATCTCTAATGGAAATACCTGTGACTAATTTTATTTGGAAAGAAGGTACTGGAAGGCGGTGCCAGAACACCATCATAACAAACCTGTAAGTTATATAGTGGCTCAGCTACTGGGCAAAATAGCATCCAGTTTACTCTTTTCAACCATTCCACCACAAAATTAACCCTTGAAGGGCTTTGTATCCTAAAAGCATGCTGAATGCTGACAAGCAGGGAAGCACCGAGCAACTGAAATACTACTAACATGCTGCAATGCTTATAATTAACTTATAAGAAGATGGAGCCATGACTCATGTGATTCAAACTTCCTTGATGATCCAAGTGACATTTTGGTGGTTCCTGAGGACCCTGTCAAGGTTCCCTGGTGCCTCGTCTCCAAAGCCTTCAAGCACAAGGCTGCACATCGCCCCTGTTGACTACACCAGAAGTCCTGGAAACAGGGGTTCAGTCCTTCCTACCATCACTGCAGTGAGACCTGTACTCCTACCGCTTCCCTTGGCGCTCACACGTTCCATCCTAGGGCACACAGATACAAAAATAAATACTGCATCAAGACAGCGAACATCTCCAGTGGATTTCCCTAAATGAAAAATGAAATCTAACCCCAGCAGAGACCCCTTCGCTCTGACAGGTCTTGTTTTCTTTAAGTTTTGTTTTTCTTCCTCTAACACAAATATGATCTATCATCTGCCAAAATTCAAACCTGATGTAGACTTTCAAAAACTGCTTCCAGATAACTGTGGTACTCAAATGGCAGTCAGTCCTTTCTCATCTATTCTTGTTAATGTCTCTATTTGCCAAACTTTCCCTCACAATTAAATTCCCGTATTTGAAAGTTAAAGTGACAGAAGGGAACAGCCCTGACTGAAGAAAGCATTAGTCCTCATATTTCTGCCAGCTTGGATAGGAACATATATGCCATTTGCAGGCTGGAAGGCCCACTGTAGAAGTTTCCAAAAGCCACCTGTTTTGATTAGTACGGTTTGCGTGTGGCAGGCCAGAGAGAGTAAAATACAGGGCTCTCATTTCCCCTTTGATTTCAGCGCTTCTTTTCCACTAACTGCCCCATTTCCTGATTCTTCTACATCAAAGTTAGCAAAATGAAAACACTCCTGGAAGCCTACAAGTCAGTAGATTAAATAACTGAGGTTGATCAATTTGCTAAGATCAGAAGTACTAGTTGCAATTTTCAAAGGACTGGATAGTATACATGCTTATTTTTACATAAACTCATCAGTTATCCCAGGTTTTCAAAACTCCTCATTAAAAAAAACCAGCTTTATTAATTTTCCAGTAGGTATTACTACTCACGCTGGTTAGAAAACACGTTTTTCCCACCTTGGAATATAATGACGGCAGTGATTCAAATACAGGAAAATGCGCCCCAAAGTATCTGAATTTAAATCTAGACTCTCACAGCTCCCATGAAGCATCATGGTCCCCTCACTAGGGAAGCAAAGTACATCATCTGAAACCAAGTTCTGCCAGAAATTTCAGACAATAGGGCAGAATCGGCCCAAGAGACAAGTCAGTTTTAGCTCTTGTGTTGTTCTGCAGCACCATTCAAAAAATAAATGCTCTGAGTTAAATGCAGTTCCTTAGTCTACAGACAGGCAAAATTCTCTATTGAAAGCTCAGAACTTCTGTAGTTTGGGCTTTTATTCTTGTCAAAGACCAGTCCTATTTCAAAAAAGGTTTTGATAAAAATCTTCATATAATAACAGATAAAAAAAAAAATTCACTTTACAACTGAGGCACAGAAATAAGTTGTGGTTATACATCAACTTTGTGGTAGACCTATGGGCTGCATCTCCAGCATTTAACCTGAGCAGCTGCCAATGATCAGTTTGGACCTGATCTCTTCATTTCAAGTTTGGCCAGTGGAATTTACTTCAATTTAGTTCAGAAGTTTTTTCTCCATTCCTTCATAACATGACATTACAAAAAGCAAGCAAACCAAAGGGATATAATCTAAATCACCCTTAAATTTGAGTAACACAGGAGCAGCTTATATCCAAGTTAAACACAGTATAAAATGAAGTAAGTGGAATCAGAATCTAGCAAAAGATGCAAAAGTAGAAAAACTACCAACATAAGAAATTTTCTGTTGGGTTATTTGGTTTTTGTATTGGAGACTGGGGAATATCAAGGTGCTAAGACAATGTCAATGCTCTGCTGGGGCAGTGATTCTTTCCCTGTGTTTGTGAAGTGACTTGAGCAAGGGACTTCCAGTCTCAGCTGGTAGTGCTAACAGTTGTGTACCACCCTCTAGATAAGCAATGTATGTCCTCCAAAGGTCTCACAGTCTAAGTGAAGAACACAAAACATGGAAGGAAATAACTCTTATTTATACCATTTAAAGGAGGAAGACCAAGGTCCAGAAATCTGAACAAGGTCACATACTGTCAAGGACGGAATCAAGTTTCCCCAGTGCCCACCTAATGCTTCAAATGGAGGGCCACCTATCTTCTCTCTCAAGGAAAGAGTCATAAGCATAAAAGGCATGCCTCTGAGGCATTGACAAATCACCTGCCAGTAGATGGTTGTTTATCTTGTAAAATCATTACTTCTCTCATAAAAGTGGGTTTCCTAATTAAATAATAGGACTAAATCATATATTAGTTTGCATTGAATAACGACTATATGAAATGTAGAGCTCACATCCTTCAAAAAAAGTAGCTGAACTTCAAAAGACAATAACTAAAGGACAATTACAGGACAATTGTTTCTCCAATGTCAGACAAGCTTTACTAGAAATAAAAATATAGATTAAATATTTCTACTACTTACCAGCACACTGATTGTTTTCATCCAACTGGTAACCAAATCGACACATCAGAGGTCTTGTAACAGTAGGGTAGTTAGGAACAGGGCCTGGTGCTGGGGGCGGTGGATAAATATTTGAATAAGGATTCAGATATGGTGACCGATACACTGGGTTTGTTCGGGGTACGCATAAATAGCCACCATTCTGGTTGACACACACCATATCTCCTCTGCAGGCCTCAGGAATAGTCCGGCATTCATCAATATCTGGAAGGAAATTGCAAAAGCTAAATCAGTGCTCGCTTCTTAATGGGACTTATCCAAAAAATAGTTACCATGTTTTTCTCGAGACTTTGCTAAAAAATTTGACACTCTCTTTGAACAGAAAAGCTAATCTTTCCCTGTGGAGCCTCACTTTGAAATCAGATCACACTAAACCAGGAAACATCCCGTATATTCTACATAGCCTCTCTTCTACTTGTTTTACTTCACTATTAGAAGGTAGAGTGAGAGGGGAAAGCCTGCTTTGTTATTCTATAAATGTTCGGTTTAAACACTGATTTACATATGGCTACAGCATGCTACTGCCTATTTCTGCTAGAGGGTCTATCCAAACCACAACATACAGATCAGGATTTCAAACATTGGTGGTTTGGTTTGCCCAGCTGTGAAACTTGGATCCCGATTTGGAACTCCCGAGCTCCCTCCCACAGAAAAAGTTAGGGATGTTCTGGTCCGGGGATATGGTTCAGGCCTCTTTCTTGCTCTGATTGAGATAATTGCTGAATTAAATTTAGAAAGATACAAATGGTTTAGCCGAACAAACCATTCTCTCGGTTCTCAGAGCACAGAAGCCGTAGGGTGCTATGATAGTACAAGCAATCTGTTGCTTGTTTTTCCCTCACTGTTTGAGTGACCTTAATGCACGCAGAAGATGCTGCCCTGGAGACTGAATGCCACTGATAAAAAAATGCTATAGGGCAAAGTGTGTGTTTCCCTATATTGCCTCAACAATTTACTTGGAGTTTCAACCCTGAGCAGTGGTAGGCTTTATCTGACCCTCCAGGTGGACACTGCCAAAGACAGTAAATAGTCCTGGAGGACAAAGAGGAGGGTAAATAACCCTTTTCATTTGGCAACTAGGGTGAGCTCCCAAACTCATCCCAGTGCATCACAGCTATTTGAAAAGCACTGTCAGCCAGTCAGGATCTCAACAATGTCAAAGATCATTATACACTTCTGCTTTGTAAACACACACAGGTATTTATATATATACATATGTATTTTTGTATGTACAGATACACAAACACACATATTTGTCACACAGCAAGAACTTCTCAACGAAAACATACTAACAGCAGCACAAAGTTAACTCAATAAGCCAGTATTTCTGAACCCCAATTTAAATGTATTGATTTAATTAAGTCCTACCTAAGCACTGCCCAGAGGCACGGTCCAGGTCAAACCCATTAGTGCATTGTTGCTAAAATGAGAAAACAAAGGACAGTCAGTGACTGAAATGAGAGGGTTGCAGAGTCAAATGCTCATCTGGGTTATGATGCTTAATACAATCATTCAGCACTATACAGTACACCAAAATAAAGTCCCTTCCCCAAAGGACAATCAGGAAGGCATGAACCTGAGACCTCAGCACATACACCATGAGCTCCATACCAGTTGTTAACACAAAGTACATTCTTCTGTTTTGGGGTCTTGTTCTTGCCAGAACAGGGATGCTCAGTTAAAAGGAACTAGCTAACTTCTCTAACAGGCTCTAAAATACCACATATAGACAATTCAATACACATGTCTCAACATGTCGCATGACAATTGGCTTATTGCACACTGGGCTACGAACCTGCTTTTCGGACAACAATGTTAGTCATCTAACTGAATTGAAGCCATTTTTATAACAAGTTCAATAAAAATAAGGCTTTTACTTTACACCAAACCTTTTGATTTTTAGAGGATAAATCTTTATGTGACACATGTTCTAGGCCTGCAAGGTTACTTGTTCCTTCCTACCCTATGGTGCTGGTTTTTATCAGGGCTGCAACGTGGAGTCTTCAGCACCCCATCAGTGACCCTCAGCAGTTTGAAAAAAGTGACAGTCCTGGTGTCGATTGTGTCAAAGCCCATTAAAATGATACCCTGCTCTCCCTAGTTTTTGACTGGGTCTCCACCTATTTAGCCACAGGCCAGGCAGTTTTCACAAGCACAGGATCCTGGCAGTGAATAGGTCATACTGAAGAATGTAAGCAAGAGATATCCAGAAAACAGGAACCACTGAAGAAACTAGAGGGCAGAGGGATGGAGCGTGTTCAAGATTCTTCCTTTTTGTGAAATGATAAAGGCACTTATTCTTTGACTTTGTGGAATAAATCAGTGGAGGAGTAAAGTACTTGGTTCATTTTTTGATAAGTAGTAAGTTGTAGATAGGAGACAAGGGGTGAGATGGATAAGTCAGTGGAAGCGGGCCATTGCAGGAACTAGGGATGGGACATGAAGTGAAACACACGGCACTATTTGGGCTGCACCTGCCACTGGCACACATCAATACATAAACCCACTACTAGAAGTGTCAAACAACTATGAAGGAATTCTGCCTTCATTTATTTTGGCATTCTGAGATGTTTTGGTATCATACTGTGGAAAGCCAAGATATTCTGATGGGAGAACGTGTAATCAGCCTCATGTTTTGAAGAATGTATGTACTCCACTTTTTGTTCTCTTTTCTGTACTGCGGTGTATACACTACACCTAGGTTAGCAGGAAAAGTTAAGATTTTTTTTAACAAACATTTTCTTTTGGACAGTAAGCGATGATTCAGAAACACTGAAACTACTGTAGAACTGGTTTCAACTTCTTAGAACTTTATTCTAGAAAAGATTACAATATTGTTGAAATGACCGGTTTCAATATCTTCAGAAAGAATTTGTTGCTATCATCTTGGTTTCAAGTTGCCTTTTGCTTAGACTTCAAAATCAATTTACGGTACAAGTTTTATCATCAAAAATGGCAATGGAAACAATATCTTTTAAATTGTAAAAACAAACCCTTAAAGACATCTCAAAAATTCTCCAGGGGCATGAAAAGCATTTCCCATACAGATCCAATGTTCACAAAAATATCAATAAGCATGCCATGTGCAGGAAATTTTCAATATAATAGAAAAAAAACCAACTACATTTCAGAGTCTTTTGGCAAAGGTATTTAAAAACACAGCTCTGGACACTGAGTATATCTGGATTATCAACTAGGAGTTCAAACTCAACATGCCTTTGGGAACTGTTTTTCCTAATTTAAAGTCCACTTGGAGCCCAAGAACACAAAGAACTAATGCTTCTGCTATTTCAAGAACTGGACTGCTTTACTTCCATCCACCCTCAAAAGCCCTGCCTCTTGAGCAAAAATGGTTTTGGGCATAAATTATAATGAAAACTAGGATGCAGTCATTCAGGATCACAGTCCAAAATTAAACAGTTTTAAGACAAAATCCTGCTATACACAGAAAATAACTATTTATATGAATAAGTTTTCCAAATGTGGATGTTCCCTACCACAGAACTGAGCTGTCCCTGCTCTTGTGGGATGGCTTTTCGTATTTCCTTTTCCAGAAGTGTTCAGTTCAGAGGCAGAATCAGGTTTTCAGTGAGGTCCAGGTTTCTACAGGGATATTTTGCTGAGCTGGCAAGGATGAGTCAATAAGCTCAGTCCATGTTCAACTCCAGAATCCTGCTGGCTCCAGGTTCTCCCCTCTAAACCCTTAGACCACACAGCTTCCTTTTCATGTAAACCCCAGACCACAGAGCTTCCTATTCACCTGCTAGCCAGTTAAGTCTCATGCCATATAGCGCTTCAGTACAAAACAGTACATAGATCTCTGCGTGCACCTCTCACCTGTGCTTTTCCAGGGCTTGAAAGGCAGACGGCCAGTGTGAAAGCAGTCAGTATCCTGTAATGTGCATAGAAAATAGGCTGAAAACCTTCTGATATCCAGGCTCATTATATAGAATTAAATACACATGGACAAATTAATTTCTAGTGACACTTCAGTGTACTCCACAGAGATTTGCTAACATGAATTTGGCCTCTGGAATGGAAGCAATAAAACTGTGGGCCAGATTCAGATCTCAGAGTCACTAATTTTGCTATGGTTTTATGCAACTGGGATCAGGATCAGACTGAACATGTCCATTAACTCACCTATTTTTTATGATACCCCATGCAGCAGCTGCTTAATGAACCAGTGTGTAATATTCCAGAAAGTATTTTTGTCCCTCTCCGACACCTTTCTTTTGAGAATATCAAAGTTTTTCTTGCACATTATGCGCATTTTACAGATGGGTAAATCAGAGCACAGGCCCTGCCTAAGCTCACAGTGCAACGCACTGGCAGGGCTGCAGACATGTCATGCAGGAGGTCCTGAATCCAAGCCAGTTGCTCTAACCGCTAAACCGCATTTCATCCTCAGGAGACTATATCTGAGATTAATACATTTTCTTAGGGCCAGATTCTGTCCCTTTAGTCAGCCTTGAGCAATACGTTGCTCTGCAAGTAGACACACTGTGCCAGGTCATCAGCTACTAGAAGTCGCTATCTTCAATGGAGCCTTCCCCAGTTATGTCATCTTAGCACCTAGTGGGACCTACTGGGTCTCTTCACTGCAACTGAAAGAAGAGGATACCTCGCTAACAGAGCTCTGTGGCTGTATTTGGAACTCCTTACCCAGAGCATGAAAATTCTGGTCAGCTACGCTCCCACTTGCAAGTATTTACGAACAGACAGAAAACCAGGACAGTAAGAAATCTTTTTTTTTTTCAATGTACTATGGATTTCAGTGCTTTGATACTGCCTTATGTAACATTTCTTCTCAATACAATTAGACCCACATCTTGCTTATCTTGGATTCTAGTTCTGAATGGCAACTGTATACAACACATTCCCACAAAACCAGTACAGGAAGCAAGGGATATTTCAGGTAGCCTTAAGTTCTGCTACACAAGCAAGCTGCCAACTTTCTCTCTTAGAGCTGTCTCTGATTTCCAATGCAAACTGAGCTGCTGAACAAGACCTACAAATGCATCAGACAAAACCACACACAAACAGTGACCAACATAGTTGAACAAATTTTTTTTGAATGAGGAGACAGGCACAAACTCTGAAAAGTAAACATACACCCTAAAATGGTTGTTCATAGTGCTGCAGAGACAGATCGTGCTTCTTGGCAGCTTTTGAGTGACAAAGGCAGGCAAAATCTGCATAGACTTTTCCTTAGAGTCAGATGCAAAACATTCAAAATACAACGTTATCTGTTTAGGTTTGCACTTTGTTTATTGATTCCCCAAATATTTTTGAAGAGTTTTTAAAGCATGCACTGGTATAAAGACTGCATACTCACTTTGTATATAGCAAGAACAGCACTAGAAGGAAATAAAGCAGGTTATAGCTGAACATTAACATACCTAGGAACTGGGCTATGCTCTACCTTATTGCAGAGTGGTGCACGCTAACAAAATCGCATACAAAACTGGTCAGACAAAACTCATACATTTCTAGATGGTCTTTAGTTTCCATTGTTACAGGATGATATATTCTTTCCTCTTGGGGGGTGACCTTACTGCCTCGTATGTGTTCTGCATGCAACCACCATCTCAATTTGCTCGTTACTTTAGATCTCAAATCCCCTCAAGAATTATTAACAGACATGCAGCACAACCTATCAACACTACGTTCAGCTGGTCACAGTAGCTTGCCCAGCAGGCAAAATATTTTAAACTAGTAATTAACTCTGCAATAGTAACTAATTAGTTTCAAATCAATCACTGTGGCCAGTGGGATCGTTTGCTGTCACAATTCAGCACTCCTGCGGATGAGGGGGTTTCTAAAGCGCAGAGTATAAGCACAGATCAAGAAGGAATTCGTCAGAGACAGCACAGCTTTAGTAACAGACGGATCGTCTTTCCCCACCTCTGACCATTGAGATCCTGTCTCTTTGCAAATGGCTTTAGCAAGTGGATTGGCATACCGAATCCCCGCCACAGATATTTTCCACAAGTAGGTTTCCCTTCAGTAAGTAAAGAAGTTTCATGCATACCGCTTACCTTTTTAATCCTTGCATGTCCAAAACCGTTGGGGAAAGGTGGAAAAAAAACCAGAGTCTGCGCTGATGAATAACTAGAAAGTTTTTCCAAACATTACCCTCTGCTAGCACTTCAGTTCCTCAGTCATTTATAGTCCAAAGAATGAAATAGCAAGTAACGGAGAAGATCAGGAGCCGTCTGTACCTCCTCAGACACTGGAGAGAATACAGAGAAAGCACCTGGTTTTGCTTAGTTCTCTTCTGTAATTCAGCATTAAACCAATTGGAGGAGGAATGTTAAAAATGAACACTTCATTTTCTAAGTATGTTAAACAATGCAAATGGGGGCCTCAGCCTGGGACAGCTGGTTTAGATTACAAAGCTCACCAACTGGCTAGACTCCTCACAACAACCTCGAGGAGCCTGCCAGGATAAAACACTAACAGCTTGAAGGAAAGCCTCTCCCACTGCAAACTTCACAGTTAAATGTGCCTCAGAGCAGAGAGCACCGTTATTGGACAGAAACCCTTATCAAGGGACTGAAGAAGGGAAGGGATTGTTTTCCTTGCTCTGAGAACCAAAAAAAAAAAAGAAAAAAAAAAAGAAAAGTCAGGCTTTTTGGAGGCCCTCTAGCCGGTGTCTCGGACAATGAATATGCAACACTCACTGCTTCGTGCCAATGGCATACTGATGAAAGTTCTGACCCTCTGGGAGGTGAATAACTTGAATTCATGATGATCGCAGCTACAGGAACTGTATTGTTTGGGGATTATTTGGAAACAGGAATAAACAAATTAAACGTTCAAAGGAAAACAAATGGCTTGTCTACAAACACTGGCCCTTTTTAAACTGACCCCATGCTTAAGAGAATGGTTTGTGAATTGAAATATTTCTCAGGAAAGACATATCTTTGCAGATCTCCAGTTATGACTGAAAAGGAAGGAAGTAAAGTACTTTTTCAAGGTGGCTTGCAACTTCGCCACAGGCAGAGCTTTAGTAGGTCAAGCAGAACATCTATGAGATGTGAGAAGTAAGCAATCAGACGCTGCAAAGATTATGCTACATCTAAAGATGAACACTGAAATTAAATACAGACATGGACATTAAATGAATACTTTGAATTTCTGTTGAGTCTTCCATTTGAGGAAACCCTTTATTCCTAAGGAAGTCTAAAAGTAGCAGTGCACGTTAGGTGTGTGTTCTACTGAAACGATGAGAAACAGCTCTACAGCAAAGCAGATGCTCTGAGCACCCACCAGTCATATCGGCACCAGTGGGGGTGAGATTAACATTCTACTTCACAGAGACAAAGGCAAGTGATGTAAGCAACTCACCGAGAGACAAACTGTCAGAAATGGCACTGAGCTAAGGGGCTCCCTTAAGAAGGAATACTGTACAAATGTCTTGATTTCTCCTGTCTCCATCTGACAGCTGGAGTGGATAAAAAACAGAGTATAAAACCTGTAGCTGGGGTTGAAACTATAGCTCTAATTATGCTTGAGCCTTGGATTTCAAAAATTGTGTAATATATGAACATAAGGGGCACAAGCTATGTCTTATAACCTTAACTCTAACCTCCTTGGATGAGATGACTGAATGTATGAATTACACCATGCTCCTGCAGATAACGCACAACACTCGGTTAGCAGGGACCCTCAGTACTGGAGAACATAATCTAACAGCTTCTGAATGCCAAGACAAAAGCTGTATTTAGGTCAGGGAACTCAATAAGAGTTAACTACACTCAGCACCCCTGAAAAAAAGTCTGCTTCACAAAAACAAGTCCTCATCTACTAACTACAACACTTCAGCTCCTTTTTTAATTCTATCTGAAATTATACTTACACTTCTCCAGGACTACATCTGCCAAATACCCTTCTTAGATGTTCTTGTCGGTTTTTTAAAGTTCTCAAGGACATTGTCCAACAGCTGGAGCAGAGTCAAATCACACAGGGCCGTATGGGGATAAGCATGCAAGCCCAAAGTCATTGGAAGTGACAAGTCTTAGACATCTTTTACACAGCCACACAGATCTGAATTCACCAAAGGCCTTTGCCAATAGCTGACACTTTATGACCAAGCTTTAGATGCTTAAAACATCCATTTTGCTCCTACCAAACCAAATTGTCTACCAGCAAAACTGGTAAAACTCTTAGAGCACAACTGCTGGGTATTTGCAGGAACAATTGCATTTTGATAGCACCCCTAAGCTCCATGAGATTCACAAGTTGGGCTTTCACCTGATTATGGAGATTGATCAAAGTGTTCTTGGAGACAGCCAGATAAGCAAGCTTTTGATACTGTCACATGTTGATATAACGCATGACAGGCAGTAATCTGAACTACACACATCACCCTACTGCCACATCAATAGCACTAAGCACATGGGAAACTTGGTCTCAAACCCTAATTCTGCCTGAAAAAGAGTAGGGCTTTTTTCTTCCACCTCCCAGGACAGAATCCCAACTGCAAACTCCTGGTGTCTGGGGAGGGTTCCTTCTCCTTTTTCAAAGATGGACTACCTTACGCCATCAGCTGAGGCCTGCTTCGTTCAGAGTCTGAATTGTAATTGCCATCTCATAACATGAACGATGCAATAACCTGTTCCAGATGGATCTGGCCAGAAGCTCCAAAGTGCAGTCCTGCATATATTTTCCTTTCCTAGCCAAACATAACACAAGCAAGAATTAACAGTGAAAATTAACGTAATATGTAATTTTAAAAACATTGCTAGTGCTAACTAAAATGTGCTGCTAACACAGAGTCTCCGAGATGTCATGTTGTGTTGATTTGCAGGTCACACTGCTGCTGTTAGGAGGGAGAAAGTGAAACAGTTCCTGCTGTGCTGCTGTCTCTAGGGGCTCAGTTACCACCTGTGTGAGAGATCCATGGAAAAAAGAGCCAATACAGCATGCCTTCCTTCCCTCCGGTACAGGGATGTCACCCATCTGTCTGAAGTATGCATTCCTTTGGGATGACACCACCACTGATGCTCTCACTGCTTCCCCAGAACAAAAACCAGAGTTGCCCCTTTAATGTCGTAGCAGATGTTCTGAGAGTACCCTACCAGGCAGGCTGCATAATTTAAAGGTTTTGTTTACCTTATCTAACTCTACATCTTACAGACGTAACTATCTTTACAGGTCTGTGGTCACTCTGATACTGGTTTCTAACAGCACATTTTCTTTTAGGAAAAAAGATAATCAGTGGAAAACCCAGGCACCGCTGGATCCATTCTGCAATGTAACAACACTAAACACGGACTGGTATCTGATTCCACTTTACTGCTGTGAAAATCTGTTCATCATCCCATTAAGTGAGGAATAGTAGGATTTAGCAGATACATACTGAAATCCCAAACAGCTTAAACCTATGGCCAGTGAACTGCATCTGCTGCAAGACAAAACTGTTCCCAGTACAGTTCCTTTACTGAGATCAAGTTTGATGTTCATGATCGCCTGTATAGCTGTAGTGTTTTCTAGGAAGGTTTAGGAAGGCTGCCTGAGGCAAAAAAAGCAATATTCTTTGAGGAATGCTTCAGTATGGTTCAGGGCTTTTTTTCCCCCCAACAAAAGCAAGGTAAGCAAACAAACTAAAAGCTTTTTATAACTTTCCCAGGAAAAATACAGAGCCTTTCACAGCATTTTTGGTGCACGTGACAACTCTCAGCATGTCCCTTCATATTATTATTCCTTTACAACAGTGTACAACATTCTTCTAGATTTTTCAATACTTAAATGACCAGCATTTGTGACCTGATCTAGTTAGCGGTGTCCCTGCTCACTATAGGAGGGTTGGACTAGATGACCTCTAGGGTCCCTTCCAACCCAAAACATTCTATGATTCTATGATTTATGCTTTTAAAACTATTTTCCTGTAAAAAATATATAGAACATCATCCTGTAACTAAAACCAATAGATCTCCCTGAGAACTCACAGCTCCCCCTTGAGTTGTTGTGAGACCATGGTGCCCCAGCCCCTGTCAATACTTATACTTTTTTTCCTGTTGAATCTCATCCTTGAGCATAATTCTGGTAACTGCAGTTCACATTTTGCCTGAAACTAGACAGACAACTTAGTTTGGTTTTGTTTATTTTATAAGATTGACATGTACATAAGCTAAGCTGTGGTCTTTTCTCCTCTGCATTTTTGTCAAATGGTCTAGACAGTGTGGCTGAAAACAATGCTCTTTAATCTCATGACAAGATGTTTACCAGCCCCCTTTAATAACAAGCATAAATCCTTTATGGCCAGTTTCAGCTAAGAATGACCTTCCATAAATAAAGACCTCAAATTCTTAATATTTCTGGACCAAGGCTAAAGTCTGTTTCACTATCTGAACAAGCCAACTTTCAGTCTTTGCAAGTGCCTGGGATACATAAGCCACTGGTCTCCAATTATGACCAGACAGTTAGAAGTATGTACTAAAACCTCCCCTAGAAATATTCAGGACCGATTTATTTTATGCTTAAATGCCTCAAGACTGCACTGTCTTCTGCATTTTCTCGAGTTCTTTAGTAATTTGTGCTCCACACCACACACTGGGCAGTTCTGGCACAAGAGGATCAGGCTGCATGTCAGAGCAGGACAGTAGTTCACCCTTCCAAGTTAACCTGGCAGCATTCCCTGTCTGCTAGGGCACCTGGGATAGTAAAACATCAGCTTCACCTGTGCTTCCTCTTCTCCCAGGTACTTTATTTCCCATCACAGGGAATGTACATTTTGGATGGGTTTTCTTTTTTTGTTCCCCAAGTTTAGTTGAGCATCCTTTCTTCTTTTTTTTTTTTTTTTTTTTTTTTAATATTTCTTTTAGTCTGTTCAGGCAATTCACTTTGTTTTTATCCAGAGCAAAAAATTACCCTCCATAGCATCAAGCATATTCTGCATTTTCCATTAAAACACTTCATGTTCCGAGCAAACCCAAACAAGTCTGTGGAAATGCCATCTCTCAATGGGGATGTTTGAATGTTCACAAGTATGTGCACTATTTTTGTAAGGGCACCTGCCAGAACCCTGCTGATGAATCCAGAGTAGAAAAATATTTGACATCAGCCCTCTCTTCCAGAGCTTGTCTCTTTCCAAGTGGTGGAAAACATTCCC